TACGACTTACGTGTTGGGGAGTATGAAGGAGATGATATCAAAATTCAAAATAAATGGGAAAAAGATAAGGAATAAAGTTGAACGGTGATGATTTGTTTAAATGGGCGGTTAAAACTTGAGCGAATAAAGTGGGATACAACTCATAATTACTTTTACCCTTGCAGAGTCATCTTCTAGCTGGCCATTAATGTAGCATCCCAAGTAGCATTTGGTATGTAGAATGGCAACTATTGTTGTACATCAACGGTAGAATGCATAATAGGAGAAAAAAGCTACAAGAAGTTCCTGTACAGAAAAGAAAAGAAATTTACATACGTATCAGAAGTATTAATTGTCAAAATTTGACTTATTCAAAGTATTTAAAAATTAAAGAGAAGGGGGTTTGCGATAAAAGTAATGTGAAGGCTTTTTTTTGTTGTTGGCAATAATGGTTCAAACATTACCCATTAACTTTGAATGTGTTTTTATCCACCAAGTTCTTTAGTAACACAACTCCATGGGGGAAAAACTTCAAGTACTTCAAAATGGTCCTGAGCACCAAGATCGTAGTTTCCTAGGCAATATATGTTTGTTATGCCATTTCTTAATCTTGTCTTTTTAGATTCGGGAGCTCTCATAAGCATTATTCTAGAGCTCTTCTGACTCATTAAGATCCAACAACCTTTTCTCCCTCGCAACACCAAGATCAAAGTTCAATTTCTTAAAAGCCCACATAGCCTCGTGCTCCAGCTTTACCGGTAAGTGGCAAGTTTTTCCATATACAACACGATAGGAAGACATGTATAGTGAGGTTTTATATGTTGTCCTATAGGCCCATAATGCTTCCTCAAGATGTTGAGACTAGTCTCTGCTAGAAGGATTAACAACTTTTTCAAGAATTTGCTTGATCTCTCGATTTAACACTTTAGCTTGGTCATTAGTTTGTGGATGATATGTTGTAGCAATCCGATGGTTAACTCCATATTGATTCAATTCTCTAGCAACTTGTGTTCCAATGAATTGAGTTCATCAATGATAAACACATGAGGCATTCCAAAACGAATGAAGATGTTTTATGGAAAATTTGTAAAATCGCTTTAGCATTGCTAGTGGGCAATGCTACAGCTTCCACCCATTTTGAGATATAATCAATGGTAACCAATATAAAAATGTTCCCACATGATGAAGGGTATGGCCTTAAAATGTAACCCCCATACATCAAACATTTCAATTTCCATTATAGGCTGCATCGTCATCCATTGCATTGAGAAATATTGTCTGTTTGTTGGTAGCGATCACATTACTTAACATACTTATTAGCATACTTGAACAAAGAAGGTCAATTATAACCTCACTGAATAACTTTCCCTGCTGTACGCATGCCACGAAATGTCCACCATAAGGGGCATCATGACAATGGTGAAGGATGCTTTGTTGTTCGCATTCAGTAACACACCTCTTTAGAATTTTATCTTTGTATTGCTTTAACAAGTATGAATCTTCCCAATTATATTTCTAACATCTCCCATGAATTTTTTCTTCCTTGGTAATTAAGGTCAGGTGGCCTTATATAACTTGCTAGATTGTTGACAAAGTCAATATACCAAGGCAATGTTGTAGCAACTAACAGTCTCTCATCGGGAAAGGCATCCGAAATCAGAAGTATTTTTCCCTCTTCACTACCTGATTCCAATCGAGATAAATGGTCAACTAGTTGGTTATCATACCCTTTATTGTCTCTAATTTCAATGTCAAATTCTTGGAGTAAAAGCACCCATTGAATCAATCTTAGCTTAGTGTCTTTTTTGGAAAATAGATGTTTCAAAGTCTAATGATATGTGTAAACAATTACCTTGGTTCCCACCAGGTAAAAACATAATTTCTCAAAAGAAAACACGACAGCAAACAATTCCTTCTCGTTCATGGTGTAATTTACTTGGGCATCATTCAGTGTCCTGCAAGCATAATGTATATCATGGAACACTTTTTCCTTCTGTTTCCTCAACACTAATCCAACAACATGGTCACTAAAATCACAAATTATCTCAAAGGGTAAATTTCAATCTGATGCCACTAAGATGGGAGCATTGACTAGCTTTAACTTGATTGTTTCAAAGGAGTTGATAACTTCATAATCAACAATAAATTTCTTGTTTTGTACCAACAATGAGCATAATGGTTTGACAATTTGGGAAAAATCCTTGATGAATATTCTATAGAATCTAACATGTCCTAAGAAAATTTTAACAACTTTCATATTAGTAGGGGTGGTGGCTTCTCAATGACTTCTAGTTTAGCCTGATCCACCTCAATGCCACGACAAGAAATGTGATGCCCTAGCACTATACCTTTGGTTGCCATAAAATGATATTTCTCCCAATTTAAAACCAAATTAGCTTCTTCATATTGCTTTAACATATTAGTTAAGTTGCCTAAATATTGATCAAAATCTTGTCCAAAGACAGAAAAATCATCCAAAAATATCTCCAAGCATTCATGGATCATATCGGAGAATATAGCCATCAAGCAGCGCTGAAACATTGCATATGCCAAATGATATTCCTCTAAATGCAAAGGTACCATATGGGAATGTAAAGGTGGTTTTCTCTTGATCTTCAAGGGCAATGGAAATTTTATTATAACCGCTATACCCATCAAGGAAATAGTAAAAAACATTGCCCGTTAATCGATCCAACATTTGATCAATAAATGGCAAGGGGAAGTGGTTCTTTCTTGTAGCTTTATTGAGCTTCCTATAGTCCATGCATATTCTCCAACCCGTGGTAGGTTTCGTTGGCACAAGCTCATTCTTGTCATTAGTCACGATAGTGATTTTGCCTTTCTTTGGAATGCATTGAACGAGGTTACTCAATCGTTGTCCAAAGTAGGGTATATAATGCCAAAATCCAACCATTTATTAATCTCATTTCTAACAAATTCCTTCATGATTGGATTCAACCTTCTTTGATACTTAATGGAACTAATATTAGGGTATTCCAATAATATTGCGTGCATACAAAATATTGGGTTGGTTCCTTTAATATCTGTGATGTCCCAGGAAATTGTTTACTTATGTTGCTTCAGAATAACAACCAGTTTTTCTTCTTATGATGTTGTAAGCTTTGCTGTCACAATGACTGACAGTGTCATTATCACCAAGGGACACATACTTAAAATTCTGGGGCAGAGGCTCGAATTCAAGTATAGGTGGCTCTTCAATGGATGATTTGGGAGCTTGACTAGGTCAATCAGGAAGTTCCAAAGACTCAAAATATTGTATATAGTTGTCGTAATATCTAACTTCCTCATGCTCGTTAACTACTTAATTTCTATAATACTGTGAGTAGCAGCATCCATGCTATAGCATAACTCCCATTGCTCTTGCACAAAAAATCAATTGAGTAACATTCAACACTATCATTATATAAGAATCATTGTTCAAGACATTGAAAGTAATGTGATCATCATTTAAGCGCAAATTAAGTTCTCCCTTTTCAATATCTATCAATGCTCGCCCTGAGGCAAGGAAAGATCGTCTAAGAATGATAGGGACAGCCTTGTCTACTTCGTAATCCCAGATGATAAAATCGGTAGGAAAAATGAATTTATCCACTCTCACAAGCATGTTTTCAACAATGCCACTAGGATGTACAGTGAATCGATTAGTAATTTGCAACGTTATGGTGGTAGGCATTGCTTCACAACTATCAAATTTCCTAAAGATTGAAAAAGGCATTAGATTATTATTATCACCTAAATCACATAATGCTTTATCTACAAATTGATCACCAATAACACAAGGGATAGTAAAACTCCCTGGATCTTTGAGTTCAGGTGGTAATCTACTCATGGCCATAGCACTACATTCTTCTATTAAAGCAATAGTATCAAATTCTCCAAGCTTTCATTTTTATATAGGAGCTATCACATGAATTCGATGTAGTTTGGATTTCAATCCAAAGCTTTGATAAATGGAATGTTGATTGTTAATTGGCGAAACATATCAATGAATGCTTTATATTGTTGGTCCTCTTTTGTCTTCTTGAAACATTAAGGAAATGGAGTAGGTTTTTTTTTATTGTGTTACCGAAACATTGGGGCTGGAGAGTTCGACAGTGTGATTGGCATTGTTGCCGATATGGTTCAAGATTATTATACTATCATGTTTCTCTCTCTATGGCATTAACAATTAGTATCTCAAGATTAAATTCCTTGCTCTTTCCCTTATCCTGCTTGGTACCCCCTTCATCATTATTCTTGGGATCTTCAACAGGTTTTCCTATATGAATTCCACTTTGAGTAGTAATAGCCTTTCTATGCTCATTACATTGTGTTTTTCCTTGCTATTTTGGATTTTCAGTATCGTTGGACAACGTTCTTTGTAGTCTATTAATCAAAGCATTCGTAATTTGGCCAACTTGATTTTCTAAAGCCCTTAATGATGTTGATTGACATGCCATGTATTCCTTCATTATGGCTTCTAGAGATGAGAGGTTGAAAGTTTGTTTTGAAGATTGCCCTTGATAGTTTGCCCTTGATGCGGTTGTGTTTGATGTTTTGGCATTGTTTGTTGCTGATTGTACTATTGCTAGTTGTAATGCTATGGCATCGTTTTCCATTATAGATTGGTAATATTTTGGCTTATCCAAGACAAATTGCGATGTTGGCATTATAAGTGTTGCCATAGGAGTTGTCATTCCTATTGTAATTTCTCATATATAAGATGAATTTTGGGTTTTGAGGGAATCCTTCAAAATTGTGATTATCTCCATATCCATCAATGCTGAGATTTGAGAGGCCATAGAGTTGAAAGCATCTGAATCACTTGCTACAACAATACGTCTGCCGAACATGCTTCTCATATTTAGGTATTGGTAATCATTTTTTATATTCACTCCAGAATATCATAAGCCTCATTATAGGTATTGTCTAGAAATGCTCTGTTTGCTGAAGCATACACCGCCATACGAGTATGCATGTTCAACCCATTTTAAAACATTTCTATTTGTGTCCAATGTAGAAATCAGTGCATTGGACATTTTTGCAGCAAATCCTTAAATCTTTCCCATGCCTCGTACAAGCTTTCATTTTCTAACTGTTGAAAGGAAGTGAGGTCGTTTCAAAGTTTTTTATTAATGTTAGGTGGGTTGCATCGAAATAAGAACTTTTGTTCTAGCTCATTCCAGGATTTTATAGCACCCGGAGGCAGTGATTTTAACCATTATCTAGATTTATCTCTCATGGAATAACGAAACTGTTGAAAACATTTTGATGTTTCGATATAACAAATAAAGTGTTATTGAATTTTAAGAATTTATATTCAATTTCAAATATCATAATCGATTCGAATATTCCAATATCACAAATATTACTCCATGTCTTTAAATTTCAATTTTACTCCTTACTTAAATGAAAAATTGTGTTTCACTATTAAAATATTTTTGAAACAATTTTACAAAGTATTTCGAACCATAATCGAGTCAAAATTGAGTTTTAAATATGGTAGTACCAATACCTCATTTGGACAGTATCGATACCCCCTAAACATCGAATGCAAAAGAGGTACTGATACCCTGTAGGGTACGATGCCCTTATATAGTAGTATCGATACCATGGTTATGGGTATCGATACTACTTATGTGATTTTGACTCCAAGACAAACATAGAATGCAAAATGGGTACCGATACCCTTGAGAGATATCGATACCGTTGGTTTTGCAACGGTCGAAATATTTGAATTTTATACAGGTAGTATCGATATCCCTGTGAAGGAGTACCTATACCCACACGCTCCCAGCAGACTTTTCAAATAGATTTCACACTACAAAGACTCTATTGACTAAATGACCATCCCCAACATCTAGAATTGATCTGAGGTGTATTTAAACAAGTCTTGAAACCATTGGTGATTAAGAATTGAGAAAACAAACAAGACATAAAGCCTTAAACATCAAGTTTGAGCAATTCAAGTCAAAATCCATTCAATATTCATTTTACTTTCAAGAACACAATTTGTGCTCAATTGTATTCATTTTTTAGTGTTTTTATTTGTTCTAGAATTGTGTAAACATCTTACCTTGTGAGGTTTTTCTGTAAGTTTGTAAAGTTTGTAATTTTCTCTTTGAGAAGAGAGTGTCTCAAGAATTTGGGGTATAATTCTTGATGGAGTTGTAGGGTTACTCTTTGTCCTCAAAAGGAAGTCAAATTAGTGAATTTTTGGAAAATCTTTAGTGTGGATAGCTAAGGTAGTGGACGTAGACTTTGGTTGAGAAAGTCGAACCACTCTAAATCGTTGTGCAAATCTTTTCAATTTTCTATCAAAGCTTCCACCAAAAATTTTAATTACCAATTCACCCCCTCTTGGTTATTTCCTCTGATCAATTAACTCAACAATTGGTATAAGAGCTACACTATTTTTAAGGTTTTACCACCTCTTGAGAAGATCCGGGAAGAGTTCAATCGATGTTTAAGTCATAAATGGCCTCTATATCAAACTTCGACTTCGTTCTTGATTCTCAGCCCGTCAACAAGCCTCCATTCTTCAATGGCGATAACTATGCCTATTGGAAGAATAAAATGAAGTTCTTCATTCAAGCTACTGACATGGGAGCTTGGAAAATCATGATGAGAGGATACTCCAAACCATCCACAGATCCAGACATGTGGAGTGAAAAAGAGACGAGATTATTCCAGCTCAACTCAAAAGTAATCCATATTATCTTCTGTGCACTTGGACCAGATGAATACGGGAGAATATCATCTTGTTCAACCGCCAAGGAGATATGGGACAAACTTCAAGTCACACATGAAGGAATCGACGAGGTAAAATAAACCAAAATTAGTCATCTTACTCATAGCTATGAAAATTTCAGGATAAAACCAGATGAAGACATCAAAGCTATGACGGATAGATTTTTCGTGATTGTCAACGGTCTCAAGGGATTTGGAGAAATAATCCCTAATGAGAAACTTGTGAGGAAGGTAATTATTCTCTTCAAAAAGCTTGGCAATCAAATAAGACTGCAATTATCGAAGCTAAAGACCTAAAGTCTTAAACTCTCGATGAGTTAATTGGTTTTCTCCTCAGTCATGAAATGATGATTTAAGATGAGGTAGAGCATGAGAATAAGGATGACATAAAGAATGAGATGTATAAGAAGAAGAACGTTGGTATTACTCTCAAATCCACCAAAGATGAGAGTGATTTTGACAATAATGAGGATGAAGAAATGTCCTTGCTTTCCAGAAGACTCAGAAAATTAATGAAGCCAAATAGAGGAAGAAAATTCCAACGAAATGAAGGCTTCAAAAGTTAGTCAAAAGAGAAGGACTCGATCATTTGCTATGAGTGCAAAACGACTGGGCATGCGAAATACGATTGCCCACAATTAAAGAAGAAGGGTCTTTCAAAGAAGAGCATAAAGCACACGTGGCTAGTTAGAGCGATGACGAATCATCCGATGTAGAGGAACAAAAAATAGTAAACTTATGCTTAATGGCCTTCGGGGAGGATTCTCAGGTAACCTCTGACTCGTATAAATTAGAAGATTATTATTTTATGAGTTATTAGAGGAATATAATGAGCTGGCTTTGGATTATGAGAAATTATTTCAAAATACAAGAAAATTATTTCAAAATTGAAAACCGAAAAAGATCTCATATCCAAGACCAACATTGATCTTGAAAGTAAAATTAAAGAATTGAAAATCAAAATAGAAGATTTTGTAAATAAAAATTTGGATTTGTAAAACTTAATTTCAAGAGTCAATAATGATCATCAAAAGAAAATTGATGATCTTAAAGCTTCTTTCGATAGAGTTGGAACAAAATGTTTTGAAAAAACAAAAAATTCAAAATCCAACTACATTAGAAAGAATTTTAAAACTTACAATCATAGAGGTCCACAAAGAACCTCGAATGGTAAAATAAGTAGAAGTATATAGGTTCCTAAAGGACTCAATACTACTAAAGATAAGGATATCCTAAATTAATGGATACCCAAGGGACTAGGCTTTTAGGGACTAATGAATATGGACCCAAAAGAATTTGGGTACCAAAAATTAGAAATTAATCTATGTTTGTTGGAAAATGAGCATTGCTTCAAGGCATAAAATACAAGCTCAAATACATGGTACCTTGATAGTTGATGCTCAAGACATATGACCAGAGACAAGAGTCAGTTTACTGAGCTTAAAGGAAAAAATGGAGGAGTGGTAACCTTTGGTGACAACTCAAAAGGTTACATAGAAGGTATATGTACTATAGGTAATACCTCTTCCATACAAGTAGAAAATGGTTTATATGTAAATGGGTTAAAGCATAATCTACTAAGTATTAGTGAATTGTGTGATAAAGGATACAATGTCTTGCTTGAATCAAACGGTTATAAAGTTGTTGACATTGCATCTAATAGGATTATGCTTATTGGTCATAGAATAGGAAACATATACATGGTGCATTTAGAATTAATTAATATGACTAATTTATGCCTAGTTGCCAAGGATGAGCATGATAGTTGGTTATGGCATAGGAGACTAGGACAAACAAGCATGAGTGTTTTGCAAAGACTAATTCAAGGTGATTTAGTAAGAGGGTTGCCAATGCTAAAATTTGATAAAGATAAAATCTGTGATGCATGTGCAAAAGGAAAACATAAGAAAGTTTCCTTTAAATCCATTAATGATGTATCAACTAGTAGAGCATTACAATTGATCAATATAGATCTTTTTGGGGGCAATTAAAACTACTAGCTTGGGTGGAAAACAATATGCCTTTGTGTTGGTAGATGATTATTCTAGGTATACTTGGGTTCTATTTTTAAGTACTAAAGATGAAGCATTAGAAAATTTTATCACATTTTCAAAAGTAATCCAAAATGAAAAAGGTTACTCCATTTCAAGTGTTAGGAGTGATCATGGTACTGAATTTGAAAATCTTGGATTTACTGAATTTTGTAATTTGATCGCTTGTAAATGTATATGGTAAGGCAATAAAATCTATGCAAGTATACACAATCGATGCAAGTAATATAGTAGGGAGTGATTATCGTCTCCACATGGATTGGATTAGAAATATATTTTCACCCCAACTAGAACTAATGACACGAGCTAAGTCCTACTAAGTATTATCCTAAGAACTAATATTAATGAACTAAGAAAATGATTCAATGATTTCATAAAGGTTTGGTCGAGGAAAAATTAATATGCATACTAATAAAACAAGTGATGGTTTAAATATAATGCAAACAACCTTACATATTCAGACGTGTCATAGAGCACTTATGCTAAACCGTTGTCTTGACAACAAATATTCTCAGTTTAGAATGACTTATTATAACTCACTAAAATTGCCCGACATGATTACTAGGTATTCTTAGATAGTTGCTACGGTAATACCTCTCGGAGTTAACTATAGACGTAGTCTCTCCTACTCTAGCATCTATCCCTTTTAGTCGTTTGAAACTCACTCCTTATCTCTAAGGTAGACAAGTTAGAACTTCACCATCCCGGATTCATTCCATTGCTCACGTTGATCTATCTTAATTCTCTCAAATTTAAGAATCACTTATCTAGACAAAAGGCTATTTCTCGATGCTCTTACAATGCCAAGACATGTTTCACCAAAACACAAGGCTATCTCTCGATGCTCTTACAGTGCTTGGTAAAATATTTAAACTATGAACAAAACACTCATAAGTTAAACATACTTCATCATTCATAAACATAAAAATATTATTTAGGCAAAATAAAGTTTAACACTAAGTAAAGCATTCATGGTGCTATCAAAGATCATCTAAGATTCAATGTTAATACAACCCTAAATAGATAAAGAGTTAAAAACAAAAGAAGAAGGACTCCCAAAACCGGGGGCTCTATCGCGATAATCCTGATCAGTACCACGCCTGCCTTGGTGATCACCCTCTCTCGAGGCCTGATCGCCTCTCTACTATCGTCTGGCTATGGAGGAAACCAAGGAAGGTTGGTGGGTAGACGGTGGGAAAGAATTGCAGTTGCTTGCTCATGCCTTACGTAAAGCTCTTCTCTCTTCTTCCTTGCCTCCTTTGTTTGGCGGCTGCGGCTGGTTATTTATACGGAAATACCTCCTAGGTCTTTGTCCTCTTTTGAAGTT